GGATGTTAGCTATATGCCACTCTTTCCTTTACTTGTTTATCATTTTATTATGATATAAAATAGTCATACTAGTGATTTTTGCTAAAAAAAATAAATAAATTCAATTAATTAAACTTGTCGCATAAGTTAATTAATTTAAGAGCACAATGCATAAATGATTTAAGTATACAATTTCACTTCTTGACTTATAAAAACATTTCAAAAATTAGATTTATAATATTAATATATAATATATGTTTTTCCGATGTTATGAAAGAAATTTAGGAAAATTAGTCAATTTAAGATAATTTCATAAACAATATCATATCTTAATATATTTCATTTAAATAATATTTCTCTCACCTCATACTATCTCTCTCTTATATTTCACACTTTCTAATTCTCTATCTTACGTCACACATTTTCTCTAATATATCATTTAATATTTTTTTCTCTTACACCTCACACTTTCTCTCTCTCTCTCTCTCCCCGTCGTTCTAAAATCTTGATTCTTTTTTCAAAATCAGATGGTCATATTTTGTGACATCTGATACATTTTTGTAATCTATAATTTAATTAAATATGTCACAGTCAAAATAACACATAATTTGTAATTACAATCACATATCCGTCACAAATCATACAAGGTCACACTCACAACTGTATGTCACAAATTACATGTTTTTATGTATTGTAAATTATTTATTTGTAAGTCACAATTAATTTATTGGTCACAAATTATTAAATTAATTAATCACAATATATTTTTCAACAAAAACACAATTTCTTTGTCACAATTAAAAATTTAGTTGCAAATAACGCATTTTGTAGTTTACATATTATTTATTGGTCTCAAATCACTCATTTTATTAGTCACAATTACCTAATAATTGGTCACAATCGCTCTTCATCCCGTCTACTCCACCTTACCACCATCGCAAACAACACAAAAATGCATTTGTGACCTCAGCATAATCACTGTAGTACTGCACCACAATATAGATTTCTACCCAAATATTGTCGCCACCTTACCCCCACTATCACCACCATCACCATCACCATCATGCAGATCAACTCAAACACACCACCATCACCAATAACTAGGGATGGCAACGGTTCGGTTCGGCCAAAATCATAACCGCACCATCAAATTTTTTGCCATACCATAACTGCACCATAACTACGTAAGTCGGTTCGTATCCCGTTTGGTTAATAACCATAAATTATTTTTAATAAGTCCAAACTCCAAACGTCAAAGTGGAAAAAAAAATTATGAAGAAAAGTAAAAACAAAAAACAATAATAAGCCAATTTAGTAAACAATATCACAAATAAAAATGCAAACAATATCCCAACTTCCAAATGCAAAATTCGAATTTAACAAATAACGTTATTAACATAGGTCAAGACTCTTACTAGCATAGGTCAATCTTCATTCTTCTCCATAACTCTTTCTTACATTGTTTACAAATTGCTTTGGACACGTTATTAATTCTCTATAGCTTGAAATGCTACCACATTGTATATGTCAATTTTCTTTTTCTAATTTCCTCATCTAAGTCTTTAAATCCACTACATATCTTCAAAAAATTTATCTCTTTTATTAGTAGCTATGGATAATGGACCAGTGTTTATCCATCCACTTACAAATTGATGAAAGGCCCACAAGGCGGAAACCAGCAATTTACCCTTCTATTAATCCCAATTAAGGACTTAACTTTGAGGTGCTGGCAGAATGAAAGAACAAGATTAGGACTAAACTTCTACTATTATTTAAATACTGAACATTTCAATTTATAAATATTAAAACAAACAGAATTCTGATAAACTAATCATTGATTTGATGAACAGAAAATACAATTTATGAACAGAAAGTAACATTGAGTTGATTTAAGAATTGAATAATTTGAATTCAAGAGAAAACTAAACTGTGAAACTTTCGGATCTGGAATTGTTGGAGACAACTCAATCGCATAAATAATATTGTCCATTAAATAACTTGATTCTGCACGATTTTTTTATAATGGTCTGTTTTTCACGAGCAGGGACAATTGCACTGAGCTTCTAAAATAAGAATTTGATGCACAAAATTATTTACCAAACTTAAGGCACAATACAAGCACTCAAGAAACATGAAACTATACCATACCCGGAATTGGCGAGGGCGGCAACGGATTTGAGTGGAGGAGAAGTGTAGTCTGGAGACTNTTAATTTTTTTTTAACGGGTAATCGGTTCGGAACGGGGCACCATAGCTAAATACCAGACTCACCCCTAAATGAAGCGGTTCATTAAAATCAAAATCATAACTGTCACATTGTACCATCGATTCAGTTTTTTTTCGCCCCATTCAGTTCTGTTAACCGCGATTTTCTATTTTAACAGTTCTAAATGCCATCCCTACCAATAATTGATAGTTATTCGAAAACATGTTGATCTTGAGTCCATCTAAACCAACAATTGAAGATACAACCCCATTTGTAGACATACAGCATTGTACACATAAAATTGCATCAATAGCAATTCAATTAAATTTGGTACATTCCACCACTACAAAATATATGTACACACACACACACACACAGATAGAAAGATATATACACATTAAGTCATTGTTTGATAACCATTTTTACATTTTTTTCTTAAACTCATTTTTAACTATGCATTTTCACAATAATATATTCAGCACGTAAATCAAAATGTTTTTATACTTTCTAACCACATGTTCTTCAAAAATTCCAAAACTCATTTTCTCAAAAAAAAAAAAAAAACTCCTTTTAATGATTGTCGCGGGCTAAATCTTTGAACTACATTTTTCTCTTTTATCAATAGGAGACCATAGACAATCTCACCTCAATGGAGCATTTTACGTGGGGCTTTCATTTAAAAAGCCTAGTCAAACCAAACATTTGTTTAAAAAGTCCAACATCAATGTTTTTTAGTTAGAAGGCCTAAATATATATAAAATGGATAATACAATTTGTAAATGACTAAAATGTCCTTGTATACAAAAAGACACTACTGTCCTAAATCCCATTTCATTTTCCATTTAACCCTAATTGAATTCCACTTCCATTTCTTCCACATGAATCTGCTCTACAGGTATGCATTTTCATTTTGGCTTTGTTTCTTCCACAATCGGGTCGACTTTCCCTGCAATTATTCTTCTCCTTTTCTTATTATCATCTTATCTCCTTCATGAAACCCTAAAATCTACCATTGTCATTCCCTTGAACACTAATTTGTTTGAAGTGAGTAGCTAAATCTTACAATATTCTTGTTGGGCATTTGGAGAAAAAGAGAAAGTAATGTTAAATTTTGATATTTGGGACACTTTCTTTTTCAATTTTTCTGAATCATTTCTTCATTTTTTTTTTGTGATTTGTGTTTATGGCGTTCATTTGTTAATTATGGCTTTGAATCCATTTGATCATTGAATCAGAGTTTTGATATGTGTTGCTTTTCAGTTTTTCTTATTACCCATTATTTTTGAAATAAATATGTTGGTAAACACATGTTTGGCTATTCCATTTGTTGTTCTACTGTAAGACATATATTTTCATTTCTTTTTGTCTAGAACGACTTACATGTCTTTTTTTGCAACTCATAACGATATACATGTCGTTTTTTGCAACTCCACTTGTAAGGGCCAATCGGCTGGTAGTGAAACTTAAAGTTGTAATAATATCGTGACTTGTAACTTTATTATTTTGTACTTATTTGAAGCACAAAATGATTTATTAGATTTTATAGTTATTGTACTAATATCGCTTTTGTGTTATTGGAACAAAATAAAGTCATTTTACATTGTCGTGTTTTTTTCATATTATAGACAAATGACTTTTATATCATTATAATTGACGCATATGTAGTTCCAGTATGAAAAATGCATAGATTCACATAACAACATCGAAATCGTTTCTGAAACACAAAACCATATTGATGTCGTTATAGTACAAAAATTGTATTGATTTACATAACGACATTGAAATCATTACTGAGGCACAAAATGAAATTGATGTTGTTCCAATATGAAAAACACACCATTTTTCTGATTTTCATAACAACATTGAAGTCGTTATAGACCAATAAAATGGCATGAAAGTCGTTATATAAAAAACTTGCACAACGCACACAACATAGGGAGCCATCGCATGCGCGTCCAAGCCTTAGGCGCGCATTTGGATGACTTTTACTTTCTCTTCAATTGAGTCTTCCAAGTAATTGCATCACAAGTCCTTCCACTATATAGATGTTGTTTCTTTTCATATCAAATGACAATGAAAGCTTTGTAATGTCAAACCCACTAAATAACATAACGGTATCCACATCGTTTCAACACATATTTGACGAGTTTGTACTCGTTTCAGTTGAACACGTAACTGAAACGACATGGATGTCGTTTCTTTTCGTATGAAACGACAATGAATTCTTTGTAGTATCAAACCAATGAAATAACGTAACGACATTCATATCGTTTCAGAACAAATTTGACGAGTTTGAACTCGTTTCAGTTGAAAACATAATTAAAACGATATATTTGTTATTTCTTTTCACATGAAACGACAATTATATCGTTGTGGTGTCAAATACACGAAATAACATAACGATATAGTTGTCGTTTCAGTACAAATTTTACGAGTTTAAAATCGTTACAGTTCAAATAATAACTATAACGACATTGATATTGTTTCTTTTTATATAAAATGATAAATATATCGTTGTAGTGTCAAACACACGAAATAATATAATGATATACATATCGTTTCAGTGCAAATTTGACGAGTTCGAAATCGTTACAGTTCAAATAATAACT